GCAGGAACAAGATTGTATCTGTGCTGAGCCATAACATAATAGGACACATTTTATCTGCTTCATTACATTCTTTGAATTGTGGTTGTTTACTTCTCTTATTAAATGTATTTGACACTAGATTTGTTGCAAGATGTGCAGCTTGGTGAGATTTAGTTCATAAGTGATTCCATTTATTTGAGGCGAGTCCCTGAAGTAAAGAAGCTCTCTGAACACAGTTTTGCACTTTGCTACTATCTCACCTTTGGAGGAGCATATTGCATACAAGTCTCACAGGTTCAAGCTGCAGAGGATAATTTGTCTTCCCTGCTGTGTGTGTACCGGGCTGTTTGCCCCTGTGTGTTAGCATACCTTACATGATGCATGTCTGCATACAAATCTAAACTTTTATTTATCTGTGTTGATGGAGTACCTGTGTTTGTATGCGAGTGCAATGGAGGAATTACTGAGGGTCCAGTGTTTCCCTAGAGAGAAGAAGAGAATGAAAGTCAGGCAGAAAAGTGTGGCAGGTGATTAAGGACTAGATTTGAGCCATTGTGGGGGGCTAAATTATTCACACAGGAGGAAAATGACAAAATGGTGTTTACATAAGTACATGCAGGCACATATACATGTTCACTGTTGAGGACTGATAAGACATCGAGAGAAAATGTCATTCTTTTTTAGTCAGGGTGGCTGGTGTGTCAGTCAGTGAACACACTGCAGAGGGGCAGCAGGTCACACATTCTGGACTTTATACAAGAGCTAACCATAAATTAATTTCCAACTTATGTAACATTGCAGTTCTTTATTTCTTTTTCATGAGTTACATGTTTTGTTTATATTCTGTACAGCAACTGAAGGCACACAAAAACCAAAGATATAATGGAACATAAGTATATACAAAATATACAGAATAAATAATTCAATCTATTTAAGTAGAAAAGCTACAGAGTGTGTGCTTACATGAACCGTTTCAACGTTGAATAAGTTTCCACGAGTATGAATGGAGTGTGTAGTATAAATTCTGAACAATGACAACATCCACATTGCCAGGCGCCAGCAGTCCAATTGCTGTTCATATGAGCTGAGATGCAGAGAAAAGTAGGCGGAAATCAGTTGGCAGGTTGTGGAAAACTGCAGCTTCACTTTTGGGTGAGGTTGCCCATCAGCAGTCATTCATGTGCTAAGAGATTCATATGCCCCAGTTCAGAACAGTTCCAAATCAGCCAGTGTCAGCATGAGGAAGGAGCGATGGCAGAAAGATGTTTTAGTAAAATAGAAACATGGAACAGTCTCACTCACACACACACACACACACACACACACACACACACACTGAAGGATCATACACATCCGGTGGTTGTTTTTTCTGACAGGAAAAACAAACAAGAAA